CCCCAAAACCCCAAAACCCCAAAACCCCAAAACCCCAAAACCCCTTCAACTCAAATTTTGAATGATTAGCTGGTGATAAATAATTAATTATTCGATATCGACAAATATGAGATTGCTCAAGTATACTCTTTTAGTATCTCTGATAGCAAATTCAGTATATCTAGCTCCAAAAGGCCCTAAAAGATCTAAAGAATTAAATGACAAAACCTTTGAGCATGATACTCAGGCAACAACTGGATCTACAACTGGTGATTGGTTTGTTAACTTCTGTAGTAAAAAGAACAAAAGATGTAGAGAAATTGAACCACTCTGGGACGAGCTTGCAGAAAAGTTATTTGGAAGATTATCAGTAGCTCATGTTGACTTGTAAGTATTAGTAGCATATTAATTTTAAATAGAGATAAAAGCCCAGAGCTTAGGTAAAGATTTGCTATTTAAGATACTCCAACACTAAGATTATATAGAAAAAGAAAGTTTTATCAATTTGATGGAAATAGCGATGACATTGAAGCTTTACATTAATTTGCTATTGATTCATATCCTGATGCAAAATTGCAAGGAGATATTCCTTAGGAGCTCTCAGCTTTCTCAAGTCTTTGGAAAAATTTACTAGATTTAATTGAGATGGTTGGAGAACAGATAAATAAAGTAGTCATGAAGAATGAGACTGAGGTTAATTATGCAGGCATGGCAGTATTTTTTGGCATTCCTCTCATTATAATCTTCAGTATGTGTGTCCTTATCCTTGGAGGCTAGGAAGATAGTGGAATCGTAGGGGCTAAAAAGCAAGTTGCAGACAAAAACATAAAGAAAAATAAATGATGAATAATCAACTAGATAGTGTTTTGATAAGACATTGAATTATTCATTAAATTAATTATCTGTTTATAATACTTTAATCAATTAGTGCTTCAATTTAATACCGTTCAGTAATTTACTTGATGTCCTTCTGTTAAAGATTTTATTTTAATAATTAAACTAAAATAAATGCATAGAGGTAATCAAGGTAGATCCAGTTAAACGACAAGTAATCAATGTAACAAACTATTAATTTGTAAAAATTGTTATTTAGACACTCCATTGATGAATTCAAGCAAGCATGCAAAGCTTTATGACTAAATAAATGCTAATGATAGATCATATGATAATAATTTAAACAATATGAGCAATGGTAAAATTGATCCTAACAGCACACTTGGTAAGCTTATATCTTTTAGTAATTCAAACAGACATTAATAATTCGAAAAAGTCTCCATTCCAGTCCTCAAAGAAACATCACTTCAGTAAACAATCAGTTTAAAGTTATTAAATGTATTTAATAGATGAGAGCCATGAAAACATTTCACAAATTATTGCCAATACATCTTAGTTTGATCAAACCTCTATATTCGTAAACACTGATCAGTTAATTCAATTTTGTATCTATAGGCCTCTCCAGGATACTAGAAATTGACTGATAAAAGCAGTAATTTGCAAACATCAATAAAGCAGTAATATATGAATAACAAGAATCCGCTTTTATCAAATCCAACTCTTTAATCCCAAACTAGTGTAAATTCATAAACACAACAATATAATTAAGAAGTGAATAACAAACAATCTTAATCAGCTTATATCTCTCCCTCCAAATCCTCAAAGTTATCACCTCAAAAAGGTTCATAGCCAAGAAGTGGTAGATCAAGCAGCAGAGACTCTAGCAGTCATAGAGACCACAGCCATGGCAAAAGAAGTTTGCATAACTCAGCCTCGAGACGAAGTTACTCAACAGATTAAGATCAAAGTGAAAAGTCATTTGCATATCCATGTCAGGCCTTTAAATAATTCCTTTTGACTGTGAGAGAAGGGAAAATTGATATGAAGGATTTGAATAATTCACCATTCCTTGTCGATTATTTAACAATGTAAGCTCATTCTCATGGAGGTGGTGCTCAAAGTACTACAGACCAAAAACCTTTTACAAGTACTCTAAGATAAAGCTCTAATCCAAGATAGAACAGCAGAGGAAGAGATAGCTCAGCTAAGGCTAAAAGGAATGCAAGAGATAAGAAACTTAATGTCCCGAAGGAATCAATTCTTGAGGAGGATGAAGATGATGCTACTCATACTTAATATGGCACTAACAGCAACTACAATACTTTTAATAAAACTGATGGAAGCATTCCTAATAGAAATAGCTCCTTGTCAAAAGGGGGAAAACAAAACTAATCTAAAGATACAAAAACAAGAGATAGCTTGAGTAAACATAATTTCAAAGAGGATCAAAAGAGCAAGAAAGATGGATCATAAAGTCCACTAAAACTTTCCGATTTAAAGAATAATAGTCAAATGAAGAACTAAAATTCATCTTAAAAGAAACAAAGGAGAGGAAGGAATGACAGATCAACCAGTGGCGATGAGAGGAATAAAATTGTTGAGGCAATACTCGAGGTTGATGAATCTACTGATCTAAGATTTGATGAGAAAGGAAGGCCAATATAGAGCAATAAATATAGTTCATAGAAATAAAATCCTTATAGATAATCTGAAGATGAGTATAATACAGGAGGAGGAAGCAATAACAAAGGATCATTAAACAATAGCTTCCAGAGCAAATAAAGAAGAGGTAGAAAAGATAGGAGTGTAAACAGTGATGATGCTTATAATGATATTAACTACAAACAAGAAGATAAGCAAAACCCTTTAATGCAAAGTCCAAATGAGCCAAGATCAATATCAAAGTTACCGAAGCCGGCAGCAAGAGACGATGATCCAAAGAGGTCTATCTAAAATAAAGAAATCTTAAAGCTTGTACATCCGAATGATACGAATCCTCTAAGTGATGGTACATTTAAAGACTACCAAAATTCTGGTACTGGTGAAATAGATCCATTAAGTGAGAGAGATAAGCTACCCCTCCTAGCAAAAAATACAGATTTCAATTCAGATGTTGATTATAATCTTACATCATTAAATAACTAGGACTTATAGAAGAAATATTTGAAGCAGCCATCACCTCTTAAAAAGTAATAGTACAAAGAGGATGATAGTAATGATATTGACAGAAAAATCTCGGCTAGAACAAATGAAGATGTTGATCTGTTGAATGATAGTAAAAATTATGGAAAGTAATACGAGGAAGAAAAAGATCAATAAAGCAACTAACCTGTGTAAATGATCACCAGAAAGGGAAACAATTCAAAGTCGAAAGTCGGATCTGGCTACAATCCTTCAAATAGCAATTCTAAATCTAAAACTAATCTAGGGAAAAATGAGGTTGATTAAAAATTTGATGAAGATGATGGTACTAAAGAAACACTTAAGTTTAAAGACTTCTTAGAAAGTTAATCAAAGCCTAAAAGCAAAGGAGAAAATGATCAAAATAGCGGTAAAAGTGGAGCTTTTCGAAGAAGTGATGATTCTAGCAAATCAAACAACAGATACAGCAATCAATTATAAGTTGATGATGAAGATTAAGGTGAAGATCAATAAAATCTATCAGGAAAGAAAAAACAAAGAAGAGGAAGAGCATCTAGAAGAGATCAATCTAGCGATATGTCTCAAGGAAGGCCATCTAATTTAAGTAATTAAGGTCCTAATTAAGATAAGAAAAATAATATTCAAGATTCAGATAGAATAAATAATTCACAAGAAAACTTGGAGAGCTAATTATCTTACAGAGATTAGCCTAGATATTCAGAAAGATCTATAATTCCAGAGGAACTACCAACTTCTAAAAGATCTGAGAAAACAAGCAGAGCAGACAGAATTTCACTGAAAGAAAAGAAAAATATGCAATTAAACAATGAAGATGATGAAGAAGGCTTAAATAATTAACCTTTATCATAGTAAATAGATGGCTTAACTACGGATAGGCAATATCAATAGCTAACAGATTAAGATTTATAATCAAATCCAGAGATATAAAATTCAGCTAGATAAAATTAAGATAAATATCCACTAGAATATATCAATTCAGAAGGTTAATAAGAAAGAGAAAACACTTCTCCCAGTAAATATAGCAAATATAATACTTCTCCTAATAGAAGAGGTGAAAGAGATTTGGACCAAAATTTGAAATTAGACGATTAATAATTAGAAAATTAGAAATCTGTGAACTCCTTGAATTTAGTAAAAAATAAAAAGTAAAGCTAAGGCAGCTTCAGTAGCTCTAAAACATTCTTGAGTATTAAACAAAAAACATAGTATAAGAGTAGACTAAGAGAGTTAGAGGATAAATTAAAGAAGTCAGTTTAGGAAAACCCAACTAAGCCTTTAGATTACGCATTGATAAATGAGCTTTAGAATGAAGCGGCAAAAACCATTCAAAATAGATTGAAAGAAATAAAATAAACTTAAGATGACGATGTTGTGAGAAGAGGAAGATTTTGTGACAGAAAAATATAAACAGATCCTGTGAACCTATTTAGTCTTGCTGCTAATAGCAAGAATGATATGGATAAATTCAAAAAGTTCTTCTTTGCTGTATTTTACACCTATATGATGATGAATACTATTATGGCAGATGCTTTCAAGAAAAAATGATTTTTATTCATTCTATTTAGCCTTTCAATAATATAGCAAATTTATTATTATGAGATTTATTAAGTTAAGTTCTTATATTTTTGAATTTTACTTCTAAATTATAATGAAGGGGTTTTGGGGTTTTGGGGTTTTGGGG